TATCACCAACACGCATATACAAATTACAGAGAGCAGACAGAAATGGGCAACAGAGCATTTCCAGCAGTAGCCACCAGCGAGGAATGGTCGGAAATATACATGAAAGTAGAGCAGAAGAAAATTGATAAAGAGAACGCAAAGAAACAAAGGATTGAGGAACGACAAAAGAAAAAGGTTGAGCGAGAGAGGAAGAAGAGTAAAGAAAGTTGGAAGCAAGAAAGCATTATAATTTGAAAAGGCAATGGCAACAATGGAGAAGAAGCAGTAGAAAGCTGCGGAAAAGAAGCAATGAAGCTTGACGTTTTAAATTAAATTAAGTTATAGTCGTTAACTTACCAATTTTATTTTTCATGCACAAAACGAAAAACTAATCCTTGATGTCAGTTCATTGTTTTTTTTTTGTTGGTTTCTAAGATGGTTGTAATTTTTTTTTTCACTTATGCGCCATTATAGGGCTACCATCTTAGGAACCGCTTATTCTATCGCTTGATGCCAGTGGGTTGGTGGAGCGTTTGCATTATCGGAGTATTAAAGATGCTTCGGCAGTCTTCTCTTCAGTTTGCTATTATTGATTCGACAACATTGTCCATGCTACACCGCCCAGTTTAGTCCCGGTTAATAATGTTTTGTAGCGTTGAGCTCGAGTACCCTCAAGTTCCAAAGTATGGCGCATATTGCACGTTATCACATGTCAAATTTCAAAGACCTCGAAGTTGTGATCGGAGGTAAACTCTAGTAAGAATATTAAACCCAAAGCACTGGTATATTTGGAGGAAATGAATCCTTAAACATGATATTAGTTAGCATAAAAATCTAGAAAAGTCACCTTCTTAAGTAAAAATAAATCAGTTACCTTTCCTTTAAATCGATTGGAGCATCAATTAATCTAACGCTGATATCACTAGTTAAAAAATTAAAGGTAAAAAAAATGAACTTGAACCTTTGACGAATGATTCTTATGTAAAATCGTGCACTGAATCCAACAATGTAGTCGAAAAAAATCTGAGTAGGACAGTTTTCGAGATACAGCTTAAAATGAAAATTCACTTTAAAAAAGTTTGTTTACTATAATACAAATATCTCCGGTTGTAGTGAGATTATATCAATTATTTTAACGCTAAATTAGAGATAAGAAATGATTCGTTCGATAAATTGGACATCAATTGTCAGTGAGTTTAGTGGTATTGTTGCTAGTTAATAGTATGTTTTTTTAAGTTTTCCTAAGAAAAATGGAATTTCTGCTAAGTTTTTAAGCAACGTAAATAAAAATGTTTATAGTGGTTCTACCATTACTCTCACGGAAAAATAGCATTGTAACGATCGAAATCAAAGTTTATCACGTGTAATTTGGCGTTAAAATAATTAATATTACTTCATTACAGCTGGAGATATTTGTGTTTTAGTAAACACGTTTTTTTAAGTGAGATTTCATTTTTTAGCTATATCTCCAAAACTATCCTACTGAGATTTTTTTGACTACATTTTTGATTCAGCGCCCGATTTTACATGGGAAATGCGTTACAAAGTATCAATATGCTGTAAACTAGTGTATTTAAACGAGTATAGCTGTTTTGGACTCCTAGCCAAGCAACTTCTAAAAAAATACTTTATTCAAGATAGCAACATGTTTTTTTTTTCATTTATTTGCATCGATTAACATTCATGTACGGATTTTGATTCATCCTCAACACAGTGTACGGATTTCGATTCAAAATTGTACGGATTTTGAATCAATCGTAGAACGCTGTACGGATTTTGATTCAAGATATGTGCAATTTAAATACTATTTTATAATAATTAAAGGTTATTTTAAGACCTGGTGTTTGCAAATAATAGTAAAATAAGGATAAATGAATAGGAAAAAGATGTGATACAGAGCATAATGTGATAGCATTATTTAGTATTGACCGTCAATGATTCTCTCGTGCTTAGGTGTACGGATTTCGGTCCCGCACGGTAACCCATAGATTGGGGGATCAAATTAACATGGTGAGACCAGTCCAAATACTTTTTACAATAAAAAACATAAACTGAATACGTGTCAGGATTCAAAAGAACATTTTGAAGCTGGAAGTGTGTGTGTAATACTAATATCCAATTTATAGAGGTAATACATACATGCGGGGCTTATTGTAAGTGAAAGTAACCTCGAAATGGGCGTGACTCTCCAGAAATTCTAAAATGGGTTGCTGGATCTGCAATAGAGCTATCACCGTCTAACTCCCGGACTAAAGCTGTCTACAATGACCATAAATGCGACATTGTAGAGAGAGTTCTTCCATAATAAAACTGAAGGCCAGTGGGGGTTAGAGGGAATACACACACACATACACACACACACATCTACCCGTATTAAAAAGATGTATTTTGCATTTATCCGTATTTATGTATTTCTAAGTTTTGTTTTTCGTGTAGAAAGTATTTTCGATGTATTTTTGTGTATTTCATTTAAGGTATTTTAGTTTTATCGCGTACACATTAACGTATTTTTATGTATTTTTTGAAGTATGTATTAAAAATTCAGCTATATAATTAAGCTGATCGCCCCTCGAATTTATTATAATGTATATGGATGATTTTCCACGCAGGGGAGGCAATGGTCTAAAACCTATCAAAATCGTTTAACGTAGTTTATGAACAGACCCTGATGAATTCTTATATATTTTTTTTAAACTCATGAAAAATGAAAACTTTCTGAATATTGAAAATCAAGAAGATTTGACAAATTAAAAACATCGTAGAACAAGATAAGATGCCTACATTCATCAGGGTTCATAGAACAAGATCTTTTGGTTAAAATTTAAACTTCTTATTAGCACTTTTTTACTGAAATTACTAATCCTTTGCTCACTTTTTTTTCAAGTACATTGTAAGATATTTGAGAATTTAATACTTTATTGGTATTTGTTCTCAAAATTATTAATAAAAAAGTACCGCGTACACTTTTACCCGCTTTACTACCAGAATGTTGATGACACTCGATTTGTGATTTCCCTCTCACAGACTTCAGAATAGAGTACCTGGTACTGAAAATGCTGATGGTATCCTCGTTTATGCACTTACATTAACATCCGAATGTAGAGAATGAGAGGAACAATTAAATAAATAAATAAATTGATTAATTAGCCGAAAATATATTTACTGTATTCAAAGTGTTTTTATGTTACTTCATACGCGAAGTTAGCGATTTTCAGAGTTGGTTGGAAAATGCTAACATGAAGCTTTAGTGTGATAATTTATTAGCTAGAGAATGATCTTTTTTAGAAGAGGGTAAGTGGATAGTTCCGTTAGAGTACGGCAGTATGAAAATTGAATAGAAGTTGAAAATGAGCGAAGGGCCATTAATGCGACAGTTTTTAAAGATAGACGCACATCTTTGCCTAACCCGTACGATGTACGCGGAGACTTGAAGTATGTCTCCAAGTCTACAGAGATGACCAAGTTGGTCATGACGAAAGGAGCAACACAATAGTTGGGTAAAGAAGAATTGCATTACAACACACCATCGACTGTAAATGCTCTCGCAACGTGGGGCTTTAGGTAGTGATGAAAACGTCGCTAGAACTATTCCACAGCCGCAGTCAGTTTATGAGCAAAAGAGGGACGCACATTTTTTCATGTAGACTTGGAGACATACTTCAAGTCTCCGCGTACATCGTACGGGTTAGGCAAAGATGTGCGTCTATCTTTAAAAACTGTCGCATTAATGGCCCTTTGCTCATTTTCAACTTCTATTCAATTTTCATACTGCTGTACTCTAACGGAACTATCCACCTACCCTCTTCTAAAAAAGATCATTCTCTAGCTAATAAATTATCACACTAAACCTTCATGTTAGCATTTTCCAACCAACTCTGATATTTATTGTATTTAACATCACGATTTACATACGCAAAAACGCGATTATACCAACCGGTGGAAACTAACGATTTTAAATTGGCTCACTACATCCTATTGGTCCCAAGCAAATCGATTAACGTACCCCGTTCTAGTCGAAATTCTAGTACTACACTTTTGTTTGTTTGTTTTGATTCGCTATGAAAGTTTGACAGATAAAATGAGGGGTTCGTGGATGTTCCTATGTTTCGAGGGGTGCATCAATTAGCTTGGGACCGAAGATAGTACCAGAGCTGAGCCAAAAAGTTGAGCACTTTTCTTCTGAACCTACTATTCTTAGAGTTACCTCTATGATTCTACTGTATTTGATATATTTTTTAAAAATAAAATACGCACACATAAAAAAATTATTCTGTTTATTGACACTGATACAATTATGAGATAACAATGTTCCACACACCCACCTTTACAATGTTTCTAGAGTACCTTGAAGGTTTTCGGAAGGCAGTTTACTGAGAGATTTAATCATTGACGGACATACTTACAATGAGCTCTAGTAGAACGGGTCCGACGAAGTCCCTTTTTTTTTGCATCTCGGCACAAAAGATATTTTATAAACCCCACCCCTTTCAGGCGGAAAATTTTGTTTGCGGTGAAGCTCAGAAAGTATTTCTTGTGTCGAGTATGAAAAATGCATTAAGTGTCCGGTACTCTCATTTGTAGTCTGTGAAAGGGATTTCTAGGTTTTTCGATTATCCTCTGTCAAGAACTAACGGAAAACAAATTATGCGTAGTTTCCGATAGATGTCACCGCAAACAACTGCAGAAGCAGAAGCTTGACTAACTAGTTATTTCCGCAGCTCTTTTTTTTTCTAACTGTCATCTGGCTCAGACCTATCGATCCATAAAGTTCCGCAGCTCTTCAGCCCACAGTAGGCCCTCGATAGTAGATATTCACTAGCTTCATCCTCTCGACGCGCCAACCGGCATTATCAATCATGAACACACTCCACAGTTTCGTTCCTCGGACGATGCAGACAATTCATCGTACACAAACAATCTTCACTGGTGTTCGATTAAGCATAGTAGTAACAACCAACCATATGAGCGGAGTGTAGTGAGAGGGTCCAATACTACTGCTTGCTCAGATCGCCGCAGTTAGTCTCGAGTGAACCTTGAACCGTTTCGGACGTATTTTGTTCGTCGCGCTCGCCGTCCACACATTTTGCATCGAACGCGCGCGCTGCTCTTTGCATTCACGGCAACTTGCACGGAGTATCCACAAGTGTGTAAAACTACACGGTTAAATGAACGTATACTAACCTTCGGTGTTTCGTGAATGGAAATATAAGTGTGATCTCCCTTTGTAAGTGTATTTTTTTTTTAATTGTTCTGGGTGCAGTACTTCCAAGAAAGTTGTTCAGTTGCACAGATGTTTGATTCTCCAGTGTAGTATGCTTCAAGAGCATTACTAAAGTGTTTGTAGTGCTTTTTTTTTCTTATTGCATTCATACATGTGTCTGAATGGTGATGGAAGTGATAAATCGCGCTTGGGAGGGCAGAGCAAAGTGAACGGGGAGCAGCAATCTGAGTGAGGTCCCCGTCCAAAAAGTATAAGAAACAAATTACGAGAGAGAGAGAGAAAGAGAACCCGAGACCAGGGCAAAGTCTGGTTTCAAAGGAAAGGCCCACAAAGTCAATGAATGGCAACGAAGAAGCAGAGAATTCAAGATATCAGAATCAGAGGAAAATTTTGTCGTCTCGCCGTATGAATATGCTGTATCAGTGGAGTAAAGAAGAAAACGATAAAAGCAGATGAATGCCTCTTAAGTTGAAAAGTATAAAATATTTGATAAATTTAGTGATATCCGAAATGTTCCTTTGAGATGTTTTCTGTGCATGCGGCGGAGAAATACAAAGTGATTTCGGTGAAAGAAGAAGCTTAGAGTGGAATGCTCGGTGTCAGCGAAAGGGTTACCAAGACGTAATAAGAACAACAGCACAACAACCAAAGTGAGTATGGAAAAACAAGCAGTTTGTTTTCAAAAGATCTCACGCACATGGATACAGTTAGTCAGATGTCATATTCAAATTCAGTCAGATATTTGCAAGACACGGCACATTTGGTTTGTCACACAGAAAAAAAATGCAACATCAATTACACATTAGTAACAATTTAGCAATGTATTAAACTGCGTGACGCAACGCCAGGTATGACTTGGCCGTAGCTCAAATGAAGTTCCATCGACAAACATTCAAATGCTCGTATGTCGTTAATTGCGAGCTGCGAATAACAAAAATAAACGAAGAATACCTGTGTTCAGCACAGCTCAAATATACATACATACCTTCACTTAACGTTTACAGTTTGGTGTATCTATATGAAATACAATAAAAATACCTTTCGGTGAATGGCGTGGTGTGAGAGTGATTCGCCCGGCGCAGCACATCGCGGTCAACCGGTTTTGCGGCTTACCAACCAACGTCGCGACGACGTTGGCTGTGAGTGGCGTGTGTGGCTGGGTTAGGCGCGCTTGGACAATAAACATGAGCACTTTCTGGAACACAGACACGCAGTGATTGTTACGTATGGGAGAACGGTTCAGGTCAATGGGATGTAAACAGGTGCGGCAAGGTAAACTTGTCGTCTCTTTCTTTCTGCCGCTGTTTAAATGGGTTGACGGAGATTTCGCACTCCGTCAACCATTTAATCAGCGGGAGAAAGAAATAGACGGTATATTCACATTTGCCCTACCTGTTTCTATGACTTTGGGTTCAGGTGAGGTTTTTTTTCTGTTTGGATTAGTATCGAGTTGAGTCACAATCAAAACAAATCGGTGTCTACTTAGAAGAGGGAGAGGAATATTTTGGGGTGTGGGATTTTCTGTTGGTGTATTTTTTTTCCATGCGAGGTGCCAAACGAACGTGATTCGCTTAGTGAGTGAAATTAGTAAGTTATTAGAGTGTGGATGTGGTCATCGTACGAAATCACCGTATGGATTTTTTTTTTAAAAAGCATCAGGATTATGGAATTTTACAATGTAGTGTTGTGATAAAAGCAATAAAAGATTTAAACATAGATATAAACATGTTTCAAGTACAGATATTTTAAATTTTATGCCACTTCGAGTTAACAAGGTCAATATTAAATTATAGTAATTTATGTTTGACTAGGGTCGAACAAAACTTTTGAAAATGACATTAAATTATAGTAGGGACACAGACAAGCAAGTTTCTCATCGAACACCCATTAAACAATGTCAATTTAAATGTTTTTTAGTTGGTAGTACCGCCATCTGTGGGGAGTATAGTGAATACCCTTGCATTTGACGTTTACACACTACAGCCATCTGTTAAGTGTACTGCCCGTCATACCCAAGTAACCACCAAGCCCGTTAATAACCCGAAAAGGGCATTTTTTACTATAAGGCTGATAAATGGCATTAAATTTTTATATTAGTCTTATATCAGCATTATGTCTTATATTGCATTAGCGAGCTTGACTGTTACTTGGGTAGTGTACTCAACAGACGGCAGAAGTGTTTTAGCGACGACTTTTTACAGTGATAAATGTTCAAATAGTTACGTCTGTTAGTCTGTGGTAGGGTTATGAATTTCATATAAAGTTCAATTTATAATCGAAATATGGAACAACTGTTTGAAACAGAACTAATTTGACATGAATTCTGAAACCTAAACGTGTAAAATTAATATTAATAGATATTGTTAGATATTTAAGTGCATTTCAATGATGCCCTGACGTCTTTTGAGATTCCTAACTTCTTTATGATTGTCAACCTAACAAACAATCGCCTATTGAAAGTACGACTTCTGGACGATTTTATTTAACTGCATGCTTAATAATACTTGTACTATTTTCAATATTAATTTCTGTTCAGGCATTAAACTACTTGATGTTTAAGGTTTGCTGAGAAGCTTTTATTCGACTTGCATGAGTTGTAACAGAGCTTATTCGACCATATTTTTGATTATTCAACTTTTATTATACATCATTGCTTCCTTAAATAGTTAGATGCTGTTCTCATTGTGAACTAATGTTTAATTAGACACTGTTATCATCTGTTAAATCACTGTATTTATTAAACGATTATTCAACTGCGGGAAAATTAGCGCGAAATGAAGAACAGGAGGACAGGATTTTTCTTTAGATTCTGTTTTCATTATTTCTGACGAGGCACGCACAACACTACACAGATATTAGAAATGTTTATACATACATACATACATACAGTCGTTGCATGGGATTTGAACCACGTACCTTCCGATCACCGCTTGCCTTGCCATCTGAGCTATCCTTGAATACTCAATAATCAATAAAAGCTTGCTTGAAACTATCAGCACTCTCGATAGCAATTCTAGCTCCTTCAAGGTCCTGTAGAGATGATTACCTCTCCAATTTCCAAGAAAAGGGTGCTGGTTTATTTTTTTTAAAATTAGATGAATGAATTCGTTGTCGTGAGTGATGTGATCGATGATTATGATTTAAATTAATTAGACGTAGAATACAAATAAAAAAAAGGGTTGAGCTTAAGATTGAACCCGCCACCTACTGCTTGGAAATCGGAAACGGTAACCACTATTCTACTGATTTCATCTTGTTGTTAGACTGAACCAGTGTGGTGGAATAATGAATCTAAAACATCGTTTATTAAGCATTAAGCGATTATAACATGGACGCATAGTGTTACAAGAGATATTATTTATTTATTTATTTATTTAATAATTCATCTGACAAAGTTGTCTTAATGAATAAACTATTCGTTATCTTAAATAAGGTTCAGTCTTCTTACTCTATTCGAAAATTGAGTTGTGGACATACCAACATCAAAAGCAGACTCTACGGATACAAATATACGAACCATTGCACAAATTGGACTGGTTGTAGCCATAGAGAGTACGATGAAAGCTCGGTTTCATCAGGGATTGCTGACGTAACATCCTACCTGAAGCAAGGAAATCAAGCAGTGACAGAAGATGAGAGCAATCGACGTCACCGTTGAGTAATTTAGCTATAAACGTAACCTGTTGTAGCTTACGTCTTCGATCAAGCATTTCGAGCTCAAGCATTTAGGTCAAATTTACATTACGTCGGAAGTAACAAAGGTAAACAATGTCGAGCTATCAGTGTCAATCGAGGTTCCTGCTATTACACTATATACTGTCCGAACATCACACGGATCTGCATTCTCTTCTGTTTTCATTTTACCGCGTTTGCCAATCAGCACTAACTGTACTTCAACCACCTTTTCTCATTTGAACCAAAAAATCACTTCGCAGCTTGCAAAACGATCACAAATAAGTCTGGTGGAGTAGGAGAGCTACTTGAAAATTTACCATCTGTAAAATTTAAGTGAAAATTCACCAAATGGAACACAACCTTAGAAGTATTGAGATAATTGCATAATCGTAATCTGCAATACAAATTTAACCGATATCCAAAATGTTATCAATTTTTGAAGCACTGGAACTATTTTAATTAAATGCGATTACATAAGCAAAAACCACCCTCGGTGATACTTTACATGGGAGCGGGCTGTCAATTCGTTAGTTTTGTGTCACAAAGCGAAGTGATTATTTTGCTTTAAATCTTGCGGTGGCGTCGCGTATACCTCACTTTTTACCTCTGCACCAACTTTCAAAAACAGATTTAATGCCATATTCATACTCGAATCGGTTGAAAAACACACTTAATCTTCTAGTTAACTCGATATCTATCCATTGCAAGCAATATTTTGATAATTGTTTATGTTTTGAGAGTTGGTGCACAGGTAGATTGAGGTTAAGGCGACGCCACTGAAATCTTGATATAAAAATCGAGATGGAAGGTAATACCGAAGGTAAAGTTAAAAATATCGTTGTGCTCTGAAAACGAAGCTCTTTCAGATGATGCATAGTAACTGATATATTTTTCAAAATAAAAGAACCCAATTAATTTTGACAGAATTACTAATTTATCAACTCTGTAATGAAAATATTCAAACCAGTTATTTTCAAAAAAAAAAAAAAATCCAGATCATGAAAATCATTTTTTTCCTTTTCCTGTGATCTCGAAATTGTCATAGATCTCTAACAATTTAACGAGGTTTCGAAAAAAATCTTAATCCAATATTCTGACTATTTTACTTCATGATCTTGATAGTTTCCAAGCCTATGATGTCATAACATCGTTTTGTAAAATTTTCAAGCTCTCATTTTTTTTCAAAGGCCATGCATTTTAAAAATCGTAATAACCTGGGAGCCCGTCGTCCAAACATCGAGAGAGAAAAATCATGGCACCGAATCTTTAGTTTCTTTTTACTATTATTTTTCTCAAGGAGTGGTCACTCTACACACTTATTTTGCGCCAAATTTTATCTCAGTGTGCCGGCAGTGCCGACAGTGCCAGTCATGATGGCTGATTTTTTCTCAAAGGATCACGCCAGGGTAGGTTTCTGAGCGCAAACCGTATGAATCTTTTTTTGCACACGCTCGATTCTTAGGTTTCATGTTACGTCGTTTGGAGCCCATACAACTGAAGCATGTTCTAGGATCGGCCTTACGAGTGAACAATACAACGCTTTTAGACAGTGTGGATCCGTGACATCCTTGGCAATCTTAGATATGATGCCAAGCTAACGATTAGCCTTGGAAATAATCGACGCATATTGGGAATGAAAGGAAAGCTTCGAGTCTAATACGACACCAAGATCCGTCACTTGATCCACTCTGCCAAGAACAGTATCATCGATGTGGTATTTATAAGTTATCGGGTCTTTGGACCGATAGAAGGTCATCACATGACATTTCGCGACGCTGCAACCTTTGCAGGAGAAAGCAGTCTTCGATGCAGCATACCACCACATAGATTTTTAAATCATCAGCATATACGAGCTTGCACTTGTGGCCAAGGATAGATGCAGCGTCATTGAAAAATAACACAAACAGTAACGGTCCTAAATTACTTCCTTGCGGGACACCGGACGTGCAAGCAAATGGCGATGAAAAATAAGATC